AAAATTTAATATTAATAAGACATTTGGATGGAGTAACTTCATTTAACTTAATAATTATATTTTTCCAATATTCTTATTCATGTATTTACTGTTAATAGACGTTTTGGAGTGGTTGTACATAATATGGTTATTTTTTAATATTATTGTGATCATTTTAAATATTTTGGTGATGGAAGAAAGGTTCACAGAGTATTCAAGTGCCTATCCTGACTACCCCGTACACTCATTTATCATTATGATTGTAATGTGGTTCCCTTTAAGTTTATTTAAAATATGATAGAGTTAAATTGGTGTAATAATAATGTAAGATAGGCATTATTGGGCTTTATATAATTATATTTTGTGTAACTTATTTGAAAGCTGTTTAATTTTAGTTTTTTAATTTAAATGGTATTTCTATGATTTATAAGATTGACGTCATATTAATTGAGATGCCTATCCTAAAGGCAGTTTAAGCCATCAATTAAAATTGTAGAATTATTATTATGGAAAAATCATAAATTGATATGGATAGTTATTAATTAGTTATTAATTAGAATGAACTTAATGGTTGATTTGTATTCGTATTAGTTTTATTAAAAACGATAGACATTTAAAGTGTTAATATAGTGATGTCCTGAAATTTATAAGGGAGAGCGATCTGGCGTCCATGACAGCTGATAAGATGAATTCTGGAGTGGTATGTATACAAATCAACTATGTAATTAAATAAGTTTTTTCGTGATTATAAAATTATTTTAGAATTAGTTTGAATACAATAGAAAAATTTATAAAAATGGAAAGCTATTATGATTTTTGAGTATATTGTGCCACCGTGGGATGGATTTATATTAAAAAGTATACTAAAATGAATTTCTTCGTTACGCCTATAATTATTTTTAATGTATCGATATGATTTTTAAATCTATTAACTTAAAATTTGTAAAAAAAAAAAAAAATATAGTAAATATTAGCATTAAAATAGGTAGTAAATATTATAATATTTATATTATTTTATCTAATAAGCCAAATTAGTAATGATATATAATAATAATTAGCAAACAATTAGAAGTTATGTAAAAAATGTATATTATTTTATTGATATCGAGTTATAATATTGAGTAACTCAGGATGGTTGAGAATATATTTGGGATTGAAATCTGGTTTGAATGACCAAGGAGAGTGGCATATAATGAACTCGTACATAAAAATATAAAATTTGTAGACTCCATCTATCGAAATAAGGTAAAAAGTAAATTTTTTAAGTTGTTTTCTTAATTCTGTATGATCTGTATACTGAGCCACTTTTATAAGATAATTACAAGAGTCGACAGTACATTTTAGCGGAGAATCGTGTCAAACTAGACAGACAGTTGACTTATTATCTTTACTACAATGAATTCAGCGAGATGGATAACCACAGTACGCTTAAATGTAACTGTATTCTCGTGATGTTTGGCATTAGGTGATTGTTTCAGATCCGAATAGTTCTTTAACTTTAATTTGCACATGCGATAAATACGACCAATAATATATTTAATTTAATTTAGTTATGAGTTCTAACGTATAAAAAAAAAAAAATAAGGGGACATTTCATTGATTTATTTTTTGATGATAATCACAGCCAGCCTAATCTTAAAATTAAGTTCTTGCTTATATTTAAAACAGGGTTTTTAACGAATTTGTGTTTAATTTTAAAATGATCACTAATAATAAGTATTACATCGTATAGGTATTATTTTTGAGGCTGCTATTTCATTAATATTAAAATGGTATCCAGTTGGTAGCTTGATCAGTTTTTGTATTCATCCGAAATATTTTTTTATGTTTTATTGGTGTCATTGATTAGTTATATATGTATTAAAAGATCAAGTCCAATTCAGTTGTTTTGTTTATTTCAGTAAATTTTAAGTACAAGAAAACTTAAAATTTGGAACTGAATGCATGGTATATGTTCACTTATATGATAGTTTACAATATTTTAATGGTTTAGCTGATTAATTGATAAATAGTAAATTGATAAATATTAAAATATAATATACTAAAATACAATTAGAATTTATGAACATTGAAAAAATCTTTATTACCAAATATCAGTACTGGTTAGAATTTCCGTTTCAAAACTAAATGAGGGTTCCAGTTAAACTTTGATTTCAAGTATTTCAAAAGGTTCGAATTCCAATAATGATTTTTTTAGTTACGGTTCCAAACTTCAAGTTAAAAAACATAGTTCAAGGTAACCAAAATAATTGAGTTATGAACAATGATACTGACAATGACTTCTTAGTCCATAATCTATAGTTATGACAATCATGTCCTTGAAAAAAGTCTTCTTCGTAACATAGATTACAAGGGGATGAAAGGAGAGGAATACAAAGTAAGTTGGACTGTATTGAAAGGGGGCATGAAAAAGGTGATTGAAAGTAATTGAAATCAATCATAAACATCTTCTTTCAAATTAAATGCACAGTTTGGACATATTTAGCTTAACTTTTTACAATTATGTGTTTTCTTTCCGTTTTCCTTTTTTTTTATTTTTGATACAGTAAATCTAAATATTTAAATAGAATCTTAATAATTTATAAATTAAACCGCAATTAATGTTATACAAATTTATAATTATTTCAATTATTATTTTTCAGCATAATAAAAAATTATTTCAAAGTAATTAAATGCAAAGCATGGATAGTCTTTTCTACTTTATGTAAAAAAGTTCGATAAAGGTGTCAGATTAATAACAAGATACTGGTAAAATACAGGAATGGATGAATGATATAGATGAATTTTTATCATAAATTTAAAATCAGTGTACTGAAAACTATTTTGAGAGTCGAGTAGTTAGATATATACTTTTCTTATTAATTTGAATTATAAAAATTTAATATTTATAAGTTTTTTTATAGAAATGATTATATAAAGTATTCAAGTACGATTCAAGCAAAATTAATAAAGCTCTTTAATTTTATCAAGGAATATTTTTAATTTTTTTCCTTGTTTAATATAATTAAATAAAATAATTTTTTAACGTCATTTGATTAGATAAGGATTTTTGTAAAATAGATTATAAAATAAATTAAATAATATAATATTATCAGAGATATCCATAGAAATGTAGCTCAAGAAGGGTAAAAAAAATTTTAAGTAAATATTATCTATGGGAAGATTTTCTTCTGTATTCTTCTTCTACCCATATTCCATACTAACCATAAATATTATTGTAAAATTAAATTAAATTTAAGTTAATTTTACAATATTATTAATGGTAAAAAGTTTAATATTTTTTTTTATTAAGTTTAATTTCAGTTAATAGGTATACAATTTCATTAAAGTTCAAATATTTATAAGAAAAATATCTTTATTTAATCAAATAAACCTGATATGAGTTGGGAGCGGCTTTATATAAAAAACTTTTCATTTTGCAACTGACATGAAAAATCTCAGGGGGGTTAATGGGTCCTCCCATCCGGACGTCATTGAATATTATAAAGTTATTTTAAAAAAGTAGGTATTCATATGACAGTTTCGTCATTTTAATTATTTAAATAATCTATGGTAATGGCGGTTAAAGAGAGGTTTTTTATCCATGTGCTGGGCCCAAGTAATAAAAAAACTGTGGCTCGGCTATAAATAGTATAAACTTTGAAAATTTTATATTTGAGTAAATCAGAAAAACGTCAAAAATTGACATATTTATAGAACCATTCACTCTAAATTTTATTTATATTTTTTAAACTATCGAATCAGATTTTTATTACAGATCTCCTACCAAGATTTTTTTAATTCAAAATATCATTGTTTAACATACATACCACATCAGGCCCGATTCAGATCAAGGTAACGGAAAGAAGATATTTAAAATTTAATGACCTCTAATTTAAGAAAACATATTAAAATAAGCTACAAATCTTAATGTATTTTTGTTTTTGAGAAAAAAAAAGTAACTGATTGCCCTTTCATCATATTCGTATTTATACTTAATTTTATTCATAATTTAGAAAATTTTGCTTTTAATATTTAATTAATATATATATATTTTTTAATTGGACGCTAATCGTGTTTAGCAAAAAAATCATTTATAAGCTAGTTTAACCATAGTTCATAATAGGTATATATTATGTAACAAATAAATGTGTACTTAAAACAATAAATTATATGCTATGTACTGATGTAATGCAAAGTGTTCACATAAGATTATAATATATATAAGTAATAATTATTAGTTGTGCTGCAATTTAAACCTTATAAAATTTAAAAAAAATATTATTTTCTGCTATATATTTGTAAAAAATAGTTATTTTACTAAGAATTAAAAATTAAAAATTTTAATTTCATATAAATCAGAATGATATTAATTATTAATTTTTTTATTATTATTTTAATTAAACATGAAATTTTGAATTTTTAGTACCCCTCACTAATTGATGTATTTATTTTTTTTAGACGTAACAAAAATTAATATAAAATCAATAACAATTGATTTTATTCTGAATGAAATTATTTTTTGTTATTCCATTGTTATTTAAAAATGATGGCACTACACATATCTTACATTTTACTAATTTCTTGTTCTTTATCTATTCAATTAATTGATGATTTATTGTTTTATTTTTGTATCCAGCCTCTTAATTATAAGTTACTTTGATATTTTTTATAGTTCAATTAAATATATGACGTTCAACAGTTGTATTAAATGATTATAATGTATATTGAATAAACTTTACTTTCTAATAACTATGCGTAATTTTGATACTTTTTGGTTTTTTTTTTTTTTTTTTAAATCCAATATTTATATATTACTTTAGCTTAATATTAAACATAGTTTAAATTTGATAGTTCTTGATACAATTTTAAATACTGTTTTACTCATTCACTAAAATCGATTTGTAAACATTTATATCATATTATATAAAAAAAACGGATTACACCAAATCAATGTTTAACTTTGATTGAAAAAATTCATACTTTATTTTTAAATTTGTTTAAATTGATATAAAATGAATTGATAATGGACGATAAAAACATTCATACTATAACCATTATATCGCATCGTTACAGGCAATCAAATTACATTATTATTAATTAATAATATGTTTATGTGTTTGAAAATCCACTATTTTTTTTGATAATCGTACGTAATCGAGTTAACTTCGGTTGCTGCATAGTTGACTTGGGTCGTCTCGTACTCAGGTTCGTAGATAGAAGCCATGGTATTTTCACTTTGGTTGACATCAACAATAAGTTCAGTACTCTCAAAATAATTATCAGGCATTGTTGTCGGCTCCACTTCAGCGTTAGTAGTCGATAATCCAATTTTTTTTTTCATCCAGTCCACTACTCCATTTTTAATATTTTGTTTTTGTTTGTATACATTTGTTTTTATATCCTTTATCAAACCGTGAACGAAGCCAAGTTTGTTCGTGATCGGTTCTACAAAGGATGCATCGCTAACATCAATTGTGGGGTGTCCGTAAACTGTAACGGCCAAAACAGTGACGACCAACATGGCTAGTATCTTTTAAGAAAACATATTAAAGAAAACTAGCATAAGATATTATTACATATCAATATAAATCAGATTCTAAATAGTTAGCAATTTAATTGGGGTTATTAGCGTGTTAGACGAATGATACACTCATACGTGATGCCATAGATGATAATACTGTATGTGAAACAAAAGTGACTATTTCATAAATATCAATGAAATACTGTGTGTTTTATGTCAGAATGTGATAGTTACCTTATGTTATGTTAGTAAAATAATAATACCAGTAAAACAATTAATACTTTCCTAAAATAATATTTAGAAATTATTAAAATTATAAAATAGTCATTTTAATGTTTCAAATCCTTTGACTTACCGAGTTTATTTTTAAGGAATTTAGTGATTTATTAAATTTTAAATTTTATTCTAATGTTCTAATTTAATTCAAATTTACTTTATCTTTCATTTAATATCATTATCCAAAATTCCAAAACAAGTACTGTATTTGTATTTCAGATTGATATGAACATAATTTATACATGAATAAAGTAATAACGTAAAATAAAACTAAAGTAAATCGAAATTCCTAATTAGTGAAAGTAATTATTAAATTAAAAATGAATGCAAGTAAATCAATTTGTAAATGTTTGCCTATAACTCATTTTGTTCTATTATAATTTGTTAGTTCAGAAGCGAAGCCTTACATTTGTATAATTTAATTTCTGTGAAGTGCGAAATAACCACATGAGTACATTGGTATTTCCTCCTCTATGAGTTTTTCTTAGTTTTAATTCAATTCTGTCGATATGCAAAAAACGAACTTAAAGAATAATTGATATATTTTTTTGAGTTACAATAATATTTACTTATACTATATAAATGCATACATAAAATTAATATGTATATACGATGTATCATAAGTAGTAAATACTTATACTTAAAAATACTTTAAATTTGTTTTTATTTTTTTTATTAGTAAGTTTTAATTTATGTACAAAACTATCTTCTAAAAGTTCAAAAAGGTTAAAATTAAAATGTGACTTGATGGATAACTATATTTTTGATCAAATAAATGTTGATGAATATTCTTTATGGAATTAATGTATTAATATATAACAATAACTAACATATTTAAAAAAATTATACCATTATTCATGTAAAAAATAAATTCTTCCATAGTCCAGATTTGAAGAAAGCACAAATTAAAAGTAAAAATATGAGATTTTCTTATTAAAGAAAACCAAAGCATTAAACCAAATTCTAAAAATTATTATATTAAAAACCCAAAAAATTAATAATCCAATACTCACTGTGAATCGGTTGAAAGTCATATTGTATTATTTATTGACCTCACAGTACTCAAATTTTGATGTTAATTAATGGCCGCAGAACTGCTGTTCTTAAATGCTCTAGTCCGTTTGAAAATTGCTTGCAACTAAATTCGTATATAGACCGTACTATTTTTCTCGCGCCATATCGGTACTATATATATATATGTATTTTATGACGTACCGTTTACCCCTCTATTAAAATAATATTTGTGTGTTACCATTCTTTACGCAGAATAATATGATCTAATTTTCAAAAAATTTAACTGTGATTTTACGTTCGATTACAATACGTGTACGTGTCTAGATAAGGTCGTTTTGTATATAAGTTCGTACGTACATATGTATAGGCGCGTAGCTCCGCGGTATAAGTGATCCCGATAAATTCAATTGGAATCGCTCGGAATTCATTAAACACGCGTACCGAAATTTCAAATAGGTCGTTATTATCCGGGTTTGCATCGTTGATAGTTGAGTATTAATCACAGATACATTTATCACTCCGACCATGATGGATTCCTACCGAATATTTCGATGTTATACGCGCAATGAATTGATGAAAGCCGCGGGCCTTTCTTGTAGCAGCCTCGTTTTCGCCAAATTTTAAAGGTCGAAAAAAACTATAGGTGACGCACAGTTGATCCTATTCCGCTGTTGTCTCTGAACGCAAACGTTCACATGTTACGTGTACATCGATTTCGTTATCTAATTAATGGAATTTATACTATGGGGGTTAATTTTTATCGGGGAAACCGTAGAACACGTTATTATTTTTGGGTTACAGGCGCATTCAGGCCAATCGAGATCCCAGTGTTGGTTTGGTAATCAAATATAGAATTAGGTTTTACTGTTGGTGTGGCCTCTTTTAGCCGGTAAATAACGGGGGACCCTAGTGATGAGAACCTTTCTCCCAATATCTCTAGTTGTGTTACTAGTTGTACTGTTGAACAAATTATTATTTACTCAAAACGTTTTCTTAATTTCGTCTTATCATGCACGATCTATAATAAAATCTAATCTTTCGTAATGTACAACAATTCGAACAGAAAAATATCCGTAAACCGAACAATGTTGCAGGTACTTGTATTGATAGTTTTGTTATGCGTCGATTAATCGAATAACATTCAGTAGATTATATACTGATTCGATTAGATTAAGTTTATATTAAGTACGTAAGATAAAAATAAGTCATAACGAAGAAGAAATCTTGAGTTTGACTATAAATTACAATAGTTCGTATTAATAATTTAAAGTTCAATAAATATTAAAATGTTACAAGTTAAACTTATGCTATGATCTGACTTATCAGGATGATGCGACTTTGGTTGATAACCACCCATTTTTATTATTTTTTTTTAAAATTTGTCTATATATCCACGGGTGTATATATATATATATATATACACAAGGTATTTCTGGAATGGATGAGAACACTAGTATACGCGTATTCATTGTGAAGGCCCAAAGTAGATTTTTTTTTCAATTTTTTTTCAATCTCCAAAATCTTGGTTTATTCAATTTATTTTTAGGACATTACCTTAAATGTAAAAATAAACACTTTAGTTATATTTTTTGCAAAAGTCTCATACGAATCGAGACGTCACACTGTTTTTGGGTTGTCGAGCGTTTTTTACGCTTGAGTCACTGACTAAAAAAAAAATCGTGTGACACATCGATTCGTATGAGAACACTTTAAGATAAACAGTGGTAATAGTAGTTTTTTGACAGTTAATACACATAATTAAAATAGCTTTAACATTGTCGACTTATAACAATGATGAAATGATAACAAAATTAGGGTTAATATAATTTTAAATTATGTATTTTATTATTTATGTATTTACAAAAGATATGAATTACCGGCTAGATTGAATGGTCAGGGATTTTTTACATTTTATTATGCATGATCTTCCGGTACTATTAGAGAACGTACCATTGGAAGAACAAGAATCAATATGGTTTATTTTAGATGGTGGACTTCCTCATCATACAAATGCAGTCCGACAACAATTGCATTATCTTTTCTCTGACAAATTTATAGATATAGGAGCTGGAAACAATACTCAATATAGCCCAGATGTAACATGGCCACCACGTAGTTCTGATTTTATAATCCATGCGACTTTTTCTTATGGGGTTTTATGAAAGAACAAGTTTATGCCAAAGAAGTAAATAATAGAGATGAATTTTTGATAAGAATTAATAATGTAGCTGATATCATTCGTCAAACACCAAATGTATATGTAGAAAATGTAGAAAAAACATGGAGTTTATTACATCGTTGTGTGGAAAAGTGCATAGTAGTTAACAGGGGTTACATTCAACGACTTTTGTAAATAAAAATTGATTTTAAAATTAAAATGTATTTAATTATGATTTTTTTACAATGTTAAAGCGGTTTTAATTAATTATGTGTGTTAACTGACAACAAACTACTATCACCACTGTTTATCTTGAAGTGTTCTCATACGAATCGATGTGTCACACGTTTTTTTTTTTAGTCGGCGATTAGAATGTGAAAAACGCATGACTATCCCAACAACAGTATGACGTCTCGATTCGTATGAGAATTTTGCAAAAAATACAATTAAAGTATTTGTTTTTACATTTAAGATAATATCCTAAAAATTAATTGAATAAACCAAGATTTTGGAGATTGAAAAAAATTTCAAAATAATCTAAGTTGGAGCCATCACAGCGAGTATGCGTATACAAGTGTCCTCATTCATTTCAGAAACACTCTGTATATATATTTATATTTATATCTGCTCCTGGAAATACTGTTAAGTAATATCTCAGGTGTGGCTGATAACCTCCTACATTTTTTGTGTGCTACCTACGTATAGTTGTAAAAATATTATTATCTTATTTATTGAAGTTATGTGTACGGAAAGTCCGTATTTTGATTATAAAACATTATGATTCGCGAATTTATTTTTATCTTCGTATTCGTTAAATTTACCAACCATAGGTATTATTTTATCATCTGTACTTAGATTTACGCGTTACGTTCTAAGTGGTCTTCCTATTTCTCTTAACGATTAATATTATTCTACAATATTGTAGTCCTAATACGGTTAGGATTTTGATTATTTGTTTAATGCATGATTTACACATCCCATTGAGAATACATTTACTGTTTAATATGGTTACATTTATGTAACAGCGATAACTAATAATGTGTATCATACCTATATTCAAATGAAATATTTATTGTGAGTCGATTTTACAAATTAATTTACCAAAGTGGAAGGTTTAAAGAATTTAAGAAATCATAGTTTTCTCGACAATCGTTTTAGAATAGGAAAAATATTATGGTTTAGTTATAGATCTTATTTAAAGCGTTGAGTACTTAACTATTTAATTAAGTACGAGTGGGATTTCATATTTTATAATTTTTAAAACTATGTATCACTTAAATAACTTTGGACCTTTTCAAATATAAATCATACATCATATGGATAACTATACAAATATTATTTGTATATAACATTTAATTTGTATTATATATTATATGATTTTTAACTTGAGACTTACAACCTAGTTTGTGTAATAACATTTATCATGTAACTTTGTACCTGGATTAAATTTCATCAAATTGAATGTTTAATAATCTGAACTTTTAGTTAAGTTTAATAAGGTTATGTTCAATTAATTTGATTTTTTTTCTTATTGATTTCAACAATATTCATAAAACTTAAACAATAATGACCACTAACAAAGTATTTTACATAATAGTGTTATATTTGATTAATTAAGTTGTTGGATCTTAAGAAATTAATAACTACATTGTTTCGGTCTTGATTTGTGAGATGTCCAGGTTCTTGGATATGCCGAGGTTGAGTTGATCCTGTAACATAGGCACTGTTAGCATATGTTATACAGTAGATTCCACACCACATGCTTCGCATACCGATAAATCCTCCGTAGCCATAAAGAATCCATTAATAATTTTGATGTGGCTGAACCTTAGTCGATTTAGTACTGTTTATTTATTTATTTTAAGATTTGCATTTTCCCATATAAATGTTGTATTTTTGATCTGGTTTTATTTAGTTTAGTTCAGGTGTAATATCATTTTTGTCATGGTTAAATGTTGTAAAATTGTTTATATTATCATAAGAAATATTTTCTATTACAATTGAGTCTGTATTCGAAGTTGCTATTTTGCCATACTTTTCTGCGAAGAGAAATGTTCTTAATACCGGTGTAACCAGGTATCCATGGTAGTGTAATATGTTTTTTGTTAATTCTGGATTTATCGAATTTATTTCATATAAGGATTTCCATGTTTATAGGGTTTGATTTGTATTTCTTTAAGTGCTATATTTAAGAATTATATAAAAATAGTATTCTTTCTTCTTGATGATTATTTTTATGGCTTTTAAATTTATGGCTATAATTCCTTCTATAAATATTGAACACTCATTCGTTAATTTGTTTCAACTATTTCTTTTAACTTAGATTCATCAAGTGCAAGATTTTGGTTGGTTCTTGTAGTCATCTAATATGTTATTTAGGTAGCATTTCAATATTTCAGTAATTTGCTTTAATTTTTCGTATCTTATTAGTCTGGACATATATTAACATTTAATTTTTTAATATAAATGATAGTTTGGGTGTTTTAATTAGTGTAGAACTCGTTAATTTTCTGATTATACCATATTGGTATTGGTTCAAGTGTTTGTTTTATTTGAAGTAATTTTATTTTTTTTTTTGCAACTTCGGTTTAAGTATTTTGTCTATTTAATTGTTAATGTACGTTAAATATTTTATGAGATTATTTTATAATTGCCATTTTACTCGTTTACCACTGTACTGGAAGAGTGCTATCGAAAAACAATAAAGACGCACTATAAATAATTAAAATATGTGATGCACTGTCGGAGGTTTAACACGAAATGGAAATTTTCTATTCTTATTTAAGTCGTTAATAAAGTTCTAGAATTATAAAGGACCTTTGACATTTGTGGTAAATTACAGTTACAGAACTGCAAAATGCTTTTAAATTGATAATTATGTTGTTCTGTTTATTTATAGAATTATTTCAAAAGTTATTACTTTGATAAGTAATTAATATTAACAAATGTATATTTATTATTTTTTCCCCCGATTTATTCAATGTTATATCTATAAAATTT